TTTCTTGCTCATGGGGTAGATTGGTGTTTTAGCATTTTTGGCCTACTACCAGGACAATCAACTGCCTTCCCACTCGGAGCAAACAATGTATCAAACCGCCCAATAAATATATAATAATATACACTTGATGGATTTCAGACTTGCATATTTAAGTGCTGAAATTCTCAAGGATTCCAACGGACTACTTTGCAGAAGGCCCTGTCTCAATGACATGAGAAGCAGAGTTCTACGGACGGATCGGCCAATATGGGAATCAGAAGTCCGCAAGGCGGATGTAGGGTACCCTACTGACATTAGTACCCTGCCAGAGGCAGCCAGCTTGGGGAGAACTATCTCTTTCAGCATGAATTCATCGCGATATGATGACTACCGTTCGTGAATATTATATTTATTTCAGTTTCGTTTTTTATCCATATCCATATTTACATGGACCAAAGGTTGGATTTTTTTTCAAACAGTCCGTTTTAAAATGTTATTTGCATAGTTGACAACACTTTTGAAATATTAACGATAACAGTAACTTCGAAAGTTTTCGTGAAAAAGTCAGTATTTTCTTTTAATATATTTTTATATAAATTGTTATTGTGAACTAGATATATCCAATTCGTTTCGCTCAGATGACATACCTTATATTGATAGTTTTCCTTATAAAATTGTCTGTTTGGCTGTTACAATTTCCCAGTGCCCCGTTTCTGTAATTCTCGCATCGAGAAAAACTGTCGAAAAATTCATGATCATCTTGCGTAAAACAGGGTGAATACAAGAAATTTAAAAATTTCTTATTAAATTTTAATGAGTACAGAGTCACACTGTTAAAAATTGGAAGACTTTTATATTTTAAGTTTTTTCTCGATTCGAGAAAATTACAGAATCGAGCTACAGGTATACGAATTTTTAGTACATAAGACAGGTGCCATGGCCAGGTGTCTGAAGCTGGAGGTCCACACAACACGTTCTACGCTTTCTTGCATTCTACGCGTCATTCAAAAAAGTATAATCAATGTATTTGTATGCTGCAAGGTACAAGCAAGTAACTTGGCAGAACTAGAGAGCTGACTGCATCACTACAACAATACAAACACAACATGTATTTTGTTTTTGTACTAGAATTAGTTTACTGTCAAAAATGACTTATTAAATGTAAACAAATAACATTCATAACATGTAAACAATAACAACTTTTGACAAAAAGCATGGTTAGGTTAGGTTACGTGGGTTGCTCGCTAGTAAGCGAGTTCACTTGGAGGCCTTGTGGCCCATTGTAATACCCTTAGAATTGTCATTCCCTAATATTGAGAGAATGGTTTCCCTTCCTAATTTCGTTGACTACTTGGTTTGTTCGGTCTGCGTAAAAAAACAACCGGGGTTTCTAATAAAACCGATCATGTTTACTAGTGACGCATCTCTGAGGCAGTCCAGAGCATGGAATGAGAGAATGCTTTCCCTTTCTAATTTCGTTGACTACTTGGTTCGTTCGGTCTGCGTAAAAAACAACCGGGGTTTCTAATAAAACCGATCATGTTTACTAGTGACGCATCTCTGAGACAGTCCAGATTATGGAAAAGAGCTCTGCCAAGATAGAGTAGTATATGCTCTTGTAAGACTGGGCAGTCACATGGAAGGTGTTGTACCGATTCCACTTCTTCTTCGTCCAAGCAGTTTCTACAGTTCCAGTTAGAAGCATAATCGAGTTCTTACTAAGAGACAAGAGAGTCCTACTCCTATCTGAGTGAGAGTGGGCCAGAGCAGTCTCGATATTTTACAAGTGATGATATTTGACCGCCTGAGTTGCGTCTCACTCAAAGCCCAGTCTTCTATCAATTTTTATATTGTCGTCAGGGGAGTGTGAATATCCTTTTGCGCAAGGGTTCAGTCTAGGGACGACCCTTTGGTTGCGCATTTATCAGATATTTCATTTCCCCCGATGCCCTCATATCCTGGAACCCATATCAACTCAACGTGATGTTGTGTCAGTTGTGCCAATGATTGAATACAATTGAGAAGATATTTCGACTTAATAACATTGGAGTTAAGAGCAAGAGATTGATGCAAGGCTGTCCAAGTATATATGTATGTATAGTCGAATTTTCGAGATTTAGTTCCCCAGATGGCATATATCTCTGCCTGAAGGACCGTGCAGGTGTCAGGTAGTCGAACAGACAGTAGAGGAATATTCTGTATTTGAGCCATCAGTATAGATTGAGATCACGTCGTCCCTTAGGACGGTGTTCGCGGCCCAATCATCCCTTGTCGGTATTCTAATTTTGAATGGCTTATTAAAATTCAGTGCTCTCCATCAAACAAGAGCTCCATAGGTTAAAATAGGTCTTATGACCGCGGTGTACATCCAGTGCACAATGTATGATTTAAAACCCCATCTTATCCCAAAGGTTTTCTTAAATATATAGAAGACACATAATGCCTTCTTCATTCGACTCTCAGCATTACGATTCCACGTGAGCTTAGAGTCTAAAATTACGCCAAGATATTTGGCTTCACTTGAAGTATTCAGAATGGTACCATCCTAACAAGGAGGTCTGAATTCTGTAATTTTGCACCTGCTGGTGAAAAGAACCAGTTCAGTTTGACACAACGTTTCTTGCCTTGGCAATACCCATATTGGAGTTATTGCTTTTTGATAGTTTTTGCCAGTTAATGGTTGTTTGAAGCTTTAGGTTGAGATAACTCAAAGAATGAAGAAGAAGATATAAATAAAGGTATCTTCGATGTGATGGAGAAATTCTGTTTGTAAGAAAAGTGTATTTTGGTATCTGGAATAAAAATTTGGATGATATCACATCCTACAACATACATAATTCACAGAACACTGAGTATGATAAATATTAATTATTTATAATTAAATATTACGTATACGCCACGCAGTTTGTAAGATTAAATTTAAAATCTACAAGTGCTTGATTTGTGTTTTGGTGGTTGACTGTATTTTTTGGAAAGTTTAAATTGTACATAAATAGGACACGTGGTTCCATTTGTAAAACACGGAAAGATATACAGAAAGAGAGAGAGAAAACATCTTTGTAAAACAAACGAAAAGTTAAAAAATAATATTCATAGGTATAAATAGCTATAGAAAACGTCTACAGGTATTATTATTATTATTATTATTATTATTATTATTATTATTATTATTATTATTATTATTATTATTATTATTATTATTATTATTATTATTATTATTAGATAAGACGGGGATATTATACATTCTTTATCTGTGTGAAATCTCCAGCTGAAAATAACGAATACTTGTTCCATGTGTAAAAATATCATGTTTCATAATTCTTAAAAACTAAATAAAGTACATAATTGTTTGAAGCGCCCACAATTACTTGTACCGCCTCAGATTACATTCATATCATTTACTTCCGTTAACTTTATGAATATTAAAATAGACAACCATATTGTAAGTAAGAATTCTCTGCAGTTTAAAAGTATTTTACCCTCCAGCACAGCAAACATTTCTTTATCGAAGAACTCACACGAAAGTGTCTTCCGCCCGATAAGGCTTGCACATTAAAACGCCAATGTATCTTTACCCTGATCTTCCGTTAGTTACAACTATTTCATGTGGAAGCGTTTGCCATAAGACACCCCAAAGTTTGTTTTAAATGTCTACAAATGTCATCCAAAAGCTGTATATTTTGATTTTGTAAAATGTTAAGTATCTTCTAACTATCATCCAGCAGTGACTAAGAAGTATAAATTTAGAAGACTAAAATATTATGTTTTTGTTAAATGTCTACATACTATCATCTAGAAGTCTTCATGACGTTGTGTCTTCAATAATTACTAAAAGTTTTAAATGATTGAAGAAAGAATTTATCAATTTTAGAATCGAATTGAAGCATAATGTATGCAGTTCGGGTTCAAACATCCCGAACTGCTGGGTATGCATTTATAATGGTCAAGGAGTTATAATGTATTTATAACAGATAGTTATTATTATTTGAAATTTAAAGAAAGTGATTCATTACGAAATGTCGCCACCATTTCTCACATTCTAATTTATGAACAATTTTTGTAATATTGATGTTTCATGGAATCGAAATGGTCACGTAGAAGCCTACAGAGTTTGGCCAAATCAAAAAGATTTTTACTTTTGCTGTTCATTATTTTCTTTTCGGAACTATTATATGGGTAAAGAGGAATTTCTTAAAACTTTGCATGTATTAATCGATTAAGAAAATGTTAATGTTTCTTCGTAATCTATTAACTAACTATAGACTGGACTATAGTCTCAACTATAGTCTGGACTATAGACTGGATGATAGTCTCAACTATAGTCTGGATGATAGTCTATAGTCCAGCTATAGTCTACACTATAGTCCAGCTATAGTCTACTCTATAGTCCAGACTATAGTCTACTCTATAGTCCAGACTATAGTCTACGGTATCTAATGGGAAATATGAGTCAAAACTATATCACATTTATTTTCTATGATCTTTTTGTTGCTTTAAAACTTTGTTACTAACTATTTTCTCACGAGAGATAAATATAATTTTATTCCTAAACAGTTTAAACTCGACAATTATTCTTGGTCATCCCTATACATTGACCACATACTGTAAATATCTTGTAAATATATACACTCGCATGCGTGTGTTTTTATATGTTCGTATATTTATACAAACATTTTCTTAAAGGGTTGTCGTTGTCGTGCCTACGTGTAAATATTCAGACAAATAAATTTACCTTCAACACGTGTCCGATTCTCACTCTGGCTAACCAACAGGTGTAATCTCAGCCAAAAATTCTCATGCCAACAATTTAACAAGCAGTTTTTCTTTGTCTTAACTGAAAAAAAAGGAAAATTATTTTAAACACATAAAATCAAAAGATAAAAACTAGAACTTATATTGCGCAGTTGAAATTCTTATAAATTACATACGACTACTAATACTACTTATACGGATTACTTCGTTATTATTTCAAAATTTATTTGTTTTTACTTCTTTTCTTTTTCAATAAACAACCATAAAAGATGTCCTTAAAAAGTGATCAGGAGATATTGGAAAATTCAATGCACGAAGATGATCCAAATGGCAATTCCGCACTGGAGCAGACATTTACAGAGAAAGCTTCACCGCGATGGGGTCCACAGCATAAGGGAGCTCAAGAGTTGGCAAAATTATATAGTCCAGGTATTTAATTAGTTTATTTAAATAAAATTGGACTATAGACTGGACTATGGTGTGGACTACTTACTGGACTATAATCTGGACTATAGTCTGGACTATGGACTGGACTATAGTTTGGACTATAGACCAGAATAGACTATAGAGTTAATTATAGATTAGACTGTAGTCTTCATTATAGATTAGACTGTAGTCTTGACTATAGTCTTAACCATAGACTGGACTATAGTCTTGACTAAAGACTAGACTATAGACTGGACTATTGTCTGGACTATGGACTATTTTCTGGACTATAGACTAGACTATAGTCTGGACTAAAGACTAAACTATAGTCTGGACTATAGACTAGACTATAGTCTGAACTATAGACTAGACTATAGTCTGGACTATAGACTAGACCATAGTCTGGACTATAGACTAGACGATAGTCTGGACTATAGACTGTACTATAGTCGGGACAATAGACTTTGCTATAGACTGGACTATAGTCCAGACTATAGTCGGGACTATAGACTGGACTATAGTCCAGACTATAGTCTAGTCCAGACTGTTGTCTAGTCTATAGTCCAGACTGTTGTCTAGTCTATAGTCCAGACTATAGTCTAGTCTATAGTCCAGAATATCGTCTAGTCTATAGTCCAACTATAGTCTAGTCTATAGTCCAGACAATAGTCCACTATACTATATACTGGAATATTGTCTGGACTATGGACTGGACTATAGACTAGACTATAGTCTGGACTATAGACCAGACTATAGTCTGGACTATAGACTAGACTATAGTCTGGACTATAGACTAGACTATAGTATGGACTATAGACTGGACTATAGTCTATAGTCCAGCTATAGTCTACTCTATAGTCCAGACTATAGTCTACTCTATAGTCCAGACTATAGTCTACTCTATAGTCCAGACTATAGTCTACTCAATAGTCCAGACTATAGTCTACTCTATAGTCCAGACTATAGTCTAGTCTATAGACCAGACTATAGTCTACTCTATAGTCCAGACTATAGTCTATAGTCCAGATTATAGTCTAGTCTATAGTCCAGACTATAGTCTAGTCTATAGTCCAGACTATAGTCTGGTCTATAGTCCAGACTATATTCTAAACTATAGTCCAGACTATAGTCTAGTCTATAGTCCAGTCCATAGTCCAGACAATATTCCAGTCTATAGTCCATACTATAGTCCAGTCTATAGTCAAGACTATAGTCCAGTCTATGGGCAAGATTATAGTCTAGTCTATGGTCAATAGACTGGACTATAGTCTGGAGTTTAAACTGGACTATAGTTTGGACTATAGTCCAGACTATAGTCTAGTCTATAGTCCAGACTATAGTCCAGATTATAGTCTAGTCTATAGTCCAGACTATAGTCTAGTCTATAGTCCAGACTATAGTCCAGACTATAGTCCAGTCTATAGTCCAGACTATAGTTCAGACTATAGTCTAGTCTATAGTCCAGACTATAGTCTGGTCTATAGTCCAGACAATATTCCAGTCTATAGTCCATACTATAGTCAAGACTATAGTCCAGTCAATAAACTGGACTATAGTTTGGACTACAGTCTGAACTATAGTTTGGCCTATAGAATGGACTATAGTCTGGACTATAGACTGGACTAAAGTCTCGACTATAGATTAGATTAGTCTATAGTCTCGGTTATAAATTAGACTCTAGTCTCGACTATAGACTCGACTTGAGACTAGACTATAGTCTCGACTATGGACTATATATAGTCTGGATTATAGACTGGACTATAGACTAGACTATAGTCTTGACTATAGACTAGACTCTAGTCTCGACTATAGACTGAACTATAGTCTCAACTATAGACTGAACTATAGTCTCAACTATAGACTATAGTCTCGACTATAGATTGGACTATTGTCTCGAATATAGACTGGACTATAGTCTCGAATATAGAATGGACTATAGTCTAGAGTATGGAATGAACAATAGACTGGACTATAGCCTCGATTATAGACTTGACTATAGTCTATACTATAGACTGCACTATAGACCTGGACGATAGTCTTGACTGAAAAGACAAGACTGAATTTTAGTCTTAAATATGGACTCATGGTCTTTTGCTTTTCAGGAAAACGTGCTCAGGAATTTCTTTGTGTCTACACATGTATTGCTCTAATGATAATTGATTTCATCTTAATATTAAAACACTTTCATTTCGATCGAATAATTGTCACCTGCATATCAGCTATATGTGGTATTATTACAGCAGATTTTGGTTCCGGTCTAGTTCATTGGGCAGCCGATACTTGGGGTTCAGTCGAACTACCCATCATAGGGAAGGTATGCATATTAAATACATTAAATTTTAATCATAAAGTTTTCATAATTTCCATTATTACAGAATTTTCTACGACCATTTCGGGAGCATCATTTAGATCCTACGTCCATAACACGTCATGATTTTATCGAAACAAATGGTGATAATTTTATGGTCAGCATTCCGATATTGGGATTTTTGGCCTATAGTTTTAATACAAAATCGCACAATGACATACAGCAAGATTTTGGTTGGATTTCGTATTTATTTTTATGTTCGATTTTTGTTGCCATGACCAATCAGGTAAGTTTGATTTTTATGTGAGAGGGGAGTGTTAAGTAATTTACTTTTTTTGGCTTATAGATTCACAAATGGTCTCATACATATTGGGGTCTACCGAAATGGGTACTATTTTTGCAAAATTATCATATAGTATTGCCACGCAAACATCATCGCATCCATCATGTTGCACCGCATGAAACTTATTTTTGCATAACAACCGGTTGGTTAAATTGGCCATTGGAAAAGTTAAGGTAAATTTAATTTAATTTGATGTGATTTTTTTCGATTTCTGTAATAAGTAATGTTAAATAGTAGGTAGAATTTAGAGAAGTAGAAGACTGAAAAGGGATTTGGTAGAGCTGTTAAAAATGAGAATGACAGGGTTAGAATTTGAATTATATATAAGTGGAAGATGACAGAATCCTCCAATTTGTCACTATTACACGGCGATTTTCGAAAGCTAACTAACATAGTGATAAATGAAGTTATTGTTGTTCAATGTTCCGAAACTCAGTTTCTTGGACGTAATTCCTAAGAATTTTCCAACCACCACACGTGAGGGTTGTTATTTATATCCGGAATAATACCACTCCCAAGATATTTAGATCTAATTTCGACGAAAGTGTGACAAAGAAAGGGCTTTAGAGTTTTATTGTCTTCTCCACAAGCTCTACACTCGTCAGAATCCGCAGGTCCAATTTTGTATAATTCTGACCGTAATACTGTATGTAAAGTTAAAATACTGTCTTACTAACTTCAGACTTCCTCATTTTGACGAGGTTTCTCGTATTGCTCTTAGTAAGACTGACTCCATATGATCGTTTCCTTATTCCAATTAGCCTTATCGGATTCTCTCGCCTATATTTTTACATAAAAGATTTTGTTATATCGTCAGTAATGCATCGAAATATTGTTATTAGATTCAAACACGAATCTGTCCGTTTGTCTTTTTAAAATAAAGGCTTAACATCAGACATATCTCCTTTATACTTCGAGTTATCTTCACCTTTGTCGGCCTGTGTAATTGATGATGCCTCCTTCAAAAATGACTTTAATACTAAATTTGGATTTTGAAGACTTTTTGATCCCAGTTTAGTGTCATTCGTATTACCACGGATTCCTACGGATATTTGCTCTAATGTTCCGCTTGACCATGACATTCTTTCTGGGATCAGTGTTATAAAGTTCCCGACATATCCTGTATCTGGTAAAAGTTTCACTGTTAGTTTCTTTTTAAGGAACACAATTTGCAACTAGATTTTAGACCATTTCCTGTAGTTGAAATTCGGCAAACGCGAAGATGTATACAATTAAGTCGTAAATAGCAAGTAATGTTCGAAAAACTTTAAAATTGCTCAAATAATTTCCAGATCAAGAAGTTGAAATTAAAAATTTTGCAAATAATTAAAATTTAGCATAAATTGGTAAATAATTTCTTAAAACTTACTTCAATACTCTTTCAGATTTTGGTCATTGCTAGAGAGTCTTATCGAACATTTCACGGGACTTAAGCCACGCGATGATGACTTAAAATGGGCTAAAAAAGTTACATAGCTACTTATAGATTACATAAAATGGACCAATAAAATTTAATTTACGAAAACTACATACTACAACATTTACTACTATTTATTAAAAAAAGCAACACAAAACAATTAAATGAAAGAATTCAACTATTTATCTTGCTGAATGTACAAAAACAAAAAAAGTTTAAAGAAAACAATACGGACAAAATTTTACAATTTTTGCTACATAAAAAGAAAAAACTACAATAATATAAAATAATATTTTAAACAGAGAATCACAGTTTAGGTAATTAAATATAGTTAAAATAGTTTGTTAAAATTAAAATCCTCTTAAAATAAGGCTAAACAAACTACTTAAAAAGTAACACCTAAAAGTAGACTATTAAACCTTTTAGCAAACTATGACTATTTTACTATTATAAACTGTTATTCTCTTTTTATATTAAACGCATAATTTATTTTTACAACTTTTTATATTGTTTTGAATAAGATTTAAAAGAGAACGAGTTTTTATTGCACAACTATTATTAAATTGTAATTTTTTCATAAACATTTTTAAACAAAAAATTCACAACAATAACAATGTTTTTTTAGTATTAAGATTAACAACAACATAAAAGAACTCTAAAACATGTTTTATTTAGTATTTGGGTTTTTTGATATTAAAAATAATTTAAGCAATATATTAAAATAGAAATCAAAAATAATTATAAATTTATATTTATATGGATTAAGATGAAAAATGAAAAAAAGGTACTTTTTAGACCTTTTTTTTCACTATAATTTAAGTTTAGTTTTAATCGTATGTTACAAAGAAGAAAAAAAAAACAGAAAAATTGTTCATTAAATACAACTGAAAAACTCCACCACCATTGCTAAACGGGAAAGTAAATGGTATTGTTAAAAAGATATCAATCAATCATTTCATAACAATTAGTAATATAATTTGTTTGTTATTATTGATACATTTTATATTACATTTTAGCTGTGTGTGTGTGTTTGTACTTATAAATACGGTTGTTAAGTGTTATTTACTCATAAATATGCAATAGAAATTTATCATGTTGTTCTTACTAAATATAGATTGTTATTTTCACACCCATTTTAAATAGCAGGAAACAATCGGATTTTTACAATACTAGTTTAGTACTTTTCCATAATAAGTCAAATGTTAAATTTCTTTAAGATCTTAAAATAAGGTTAGGTTGAATGTACATTAGAGATGTCCAAAATATTTCGATTTTGCTCAGATGGGTTTTATTTTGTTTATTAGTGTCTAATACTTTCTGGTGTAAAATTTTAGTAATTTTGGCTAACAATAACCTATGCCAATGTCTACTGAGAATACGTAGCATCATACTAACCTCTGACTTATACATTCTTAGGAGGCTTCTTATCCTCCTCTCGTTAGGGCCACCTTATAGTATTTCAGTTTTTCAACCCAATGTTCGATTATGTATTTCAAGTGACCACATGGGATTCTCTTGCTCATGATTTTAATTCAGCCCTCGTTGCCACGAATGGTTTTGCATTCGTCAGGATTACTTCTTCAAGATACCTTTCCTTTACAGCAAGTAAATTTATTCCTTTTTGGCTAATTATTTTGCTCAGATGGGTTTTATTTTGTTTATTAGTGTCTAATACTTTCTGGTGTAAAATTTTAGTAATTTTGGCTAACAATAACCTATGCCAATGTCTACTGAGAATACGTAGCATCATACTAACCTCAGACTTATACATTCTTAGGAGGCTTCTTATCCTCCTCTCGTTAGGGCCACCTTATAGTATTTCAGTTTTTCAACCCAATGTTCGATTATGTATTTCAAGTGACCACATGGGATTCTCTTGCTCATGCTTTTAATTCAGACCTCGTTGCTTCGAATGGTTTACTTCATCAAGCTGCCTTTCCTTTACAGAAAGTGAATTCGTTCCTTTTTTGCTGATTATCCCCGAGTGGTCTGTTACCCATATAATGTAGAGCTTACCAATGGAAGAGTTTCGGTAATGGGTCTCTTACAGTCCAATATTTAAAGCTATTGGCTAATATTGACCTTGTTGCCTTCTGGCTGTTGGAAAATATGTTAAACTTCGTTATCGCTTCAATCTATTTTGCATATAGCTCAGATTTCCGCGTGGAAGCTAGTTTTGTGATTATGGTATGTTTACTATAATCGACCATTTCTGTTTCTGGTATTCGAACGGAAATGTCTGGTCTTTGCGCATAACCTTCAACAATATCATTTCATCTAAAAATAAGAGCCGCTCGGCTGTTAGATCGAAATGAAATCCAGCAATGTTTTCTGAACTTATCACTTATACTCCAACAACATGTAGGGTGAACTCCTTATAGTGGCATTATGTTATACTTTTTGTTCATATTAGTCTACCCGATTATAGAAGCGTAAGTTAGAATTGATATAATTATGCTTTTATAAAACCAGTGTGTCATAGTTGTACTAAGACCTCATTTCGAGCCTTTGAATCGCCTACATAATGGTCAACATTGTTGTTGTAACAGTTCTACTGTGTCCGATAGTTCTTTCCTGGGGAAAAACTTTTGGTTGATACAGCTGTCGCTGGGTTGGCAATCTTTGGCCGAGTCGTTTCGGTGCGAAGATATGCTTTGTTGGTTCTATCCTTTATATGGATTTCCATTTTAGTTTCTGATCAAGATTTTTAACCATAACGATTACTGATATCGTCCTGTCAAAGTACCTGGTTAAATATGATAAGCTATGTCCTTCTTTCTTGTGAAAAGACAGGTTTCCATTTTAGTTGGGATATTTGGATCCTTACCTCTTACGATATCGTAGCTAGTCTAAATCATTTATCGGTTGAGGTTCTTATATAACGAATATGTCTTTTATGGCCTCCCCTTTTCTCCGTATCCGTTTCTCTATTATAGCTGTTTATAAAATGTTGATAAACAACACTCCATTAGGAATTTAATGATCTTTCCATATCCTTTGTTGTTGTTGTATCTTCTAATACAATACAATTTTTAAATAACTATGGTTCTGTGTCGTTGAGATCAAAGCCAAGATGTTGTGCAACCTCAACTGGATGAGTCCAAAAGTCTTCAGAACTGAGTGAGGTAGGATTGGCACTGCAGTTAAAAAGGTGAGGACCTTCACCACAGGCTGGGCATATGTTAGGGATGTTGTAGTCTATACGAGACCAATAGGCATTAAGTCTATTACTCCATCCAGATCTCAGTTGTACCAGAACTACTCTTGTTTTACGTGGCAGTATATGTTCATCTTCTGCAATAGGCGGTGGGCGACCTTCAAGTACGATATTGATATGATAATCTGCAACAGTTTTGACAAAATTCCATTACAAATTTTGAACTTTAGCAAGGAACTAACATTTAAATTTTGAATTTTAAAACATAATATTGTAAAGTCATCAGGAGTCTTCATGTCAGACAATTTGGCCATTAGAATGAGTGACAGTTGTGAATCTTTTTATTGCAGCAATAACCTGATTATTCAAATATTTATGATATTTTTGTAGGTATTACACCACATTATCGCTAAAATGTTTTCTTAAATTAGTTGAATAATTTTGATATTTGTAAATTGTATTTAAGTAATGGTTGTGGAAAATCAAATGCTTTAACAAAAGAATTGCCTTAATATTTACACATTAACAAATAAGCGAAACGATTATTTTTTTTATTATAAATTATTATTTTTATAAATTAGCAACACGTCATAAAAATAAATTAGCTTTATACTTTTTAATGATAAATACACAAGATTATTAAGATAAAAAGAAAATACCATGAAATTGAAATAAATTTTGTTGTTTTATTTTAAAGAGTTTAACAAATTATGAACTACTATAGGGCTACTTCTTCTTTTATATAATAATGTGTACAGTAAAATCGTATTCCAGAACATTTCCTCTATCACCCAGTAAGTAAAAGTCCTGTCCCAAAACTTCTATCAAGGAATGTTAAATATATATTTTTAAAGAACTTTATTTTGCAATAAAAACAAAGTAAATTTTTATTATAAGTATTTTTTATTATTTATTTTCAATTAATTTTAGCTTAAATTATAATTTAGGCACATGTTTTCTTTTATATTTATATTTCTTCCTAATTTAATTTAAAAAAATACAAAGTAAACAATTTGTACAATATTTATCATTCTTTGAAAACGAAAATCTTTTAATAGTACGTTTTTTTTTTTCATAATAAAAACAAATAATTGAAAAAACTTCAAAATAGAAATAATAATAAAAACATATTTTAAGGCCTTGTCTGAAAATACACACCAGAGTCGTAGTAGTAGATATATAAAACTAAAATTTGCCAAAAGTATTAATTGAGCAGTTTTTTTTTTAAATGAAACTAAATTTTGAGCAGATTAACAACTAAATTACAGTTATAGTTTAATGCCTTCATGTGTAGACAAATTGTTTGATGATTGGTGGTTTCAGATAAGGCCCTTTTATCACTTTGTTAAACCTACATAAAAAAATTAACTAAAGAAAATAAAAACATTAAAAATTATCTCTAAATTTTTGATAGTTATGTTCCATGTAAATTCGGATGATGACCACTTGTATTGTTGACCGCTTTGGCGATTTCCTCTTGTAACGTTGAGGGTGGATCAGATAAAATATCGGTTTTCATTGAAAGATATTTTAATTTATTTGAAACGGCTGTAAATGGAATTATTTTATATAATTAAATTTTTCAACTTTAAGCAAGGTGTTTTAAAAATAGTATTTTACCTGGCCTTAAGTCAATTAAAGAACAATGTTGATCCACCCATAAAAAGGCTGTGCGCCTTAATTCATCTAAACTTGCACTAGAGACTGTGGAGGTATATGACGTTAATAATGGCTCTAGTATAAGGCCCAACTGTAAAAGTTTAAAGCAAAATTATTAAATTAAAGACTAAAGAAGTTTATTATAAAATGTAACAAAGTAAAATGACAACTGAACCAGAACTGAAGTAAAAATGAACTAGAATTGATGAAGAACTGAACACGAACTGAGCTAGAATTTAACTAGAACTGAACTAGAACAGAACTAGAACTGAACTAGAACAGAACTAGAACAGAACCAGAACAAGAGCAGAACTAGAACTGAACTAGAACAGAACTAGAACAGAACTAGAACAGAACTAGAACTGAACTAGAACTGAACTAGAACTGAACTGGAACTGAACTGGAACTGAACTAGAACTAGAACTGAACTAGAACTGAACTGGAACTGAACTAGAACTGAACTAGAACTGAACTAGAAAAGAACTAGAACTGAACTAGAACTGAACTAGAACAGAACTAGAACAGAACTAGAACTGAACTGGAACTGAACTAGAACTGAACTAGAAGTGAACTAGAACTGAACTAGAACTGAACCAGAACTGAACTAGAACAGAACTAGAACTGAACTAGAACTGAACTAGAACTGAACTAGAACTGAACTAGAACTGAACTAGAACTGAACTAGAACTGAACTAGAATTGAACTAGAACTGAACTAGAACTGAACTAGAACTGAACTAGAACTGAACTAGAACTGAACTGGAACTGAACTAGAACTGAACTAGAACAGAACTAGAACAGAACTAGAACTGAACTAGACCTGAACTAGAACAGAACTAGAACAGAACTAGAACTGAACTAGAACTGAACTAGAACTGAACTAGAACTGAACTGGAACTGAACTAGAACTAGAACTAGAACTGAACTAGAACTGAACTAGAACTCAACTAGAAGTGAACTAGAACTGAACTAGAACTGAACTAGAACTGAACTAGAACAGAACTAGAACTGAACTAGAACTGAACTAGAACTGAACTAGAACTGAACTAGAACTGAACTAGAACTGAACTAGAACTAGAACTGAACTAGAACTGAACTAGAACTGAACTAGAACTGAACTGGAACTGAACTGGAACTGAACTAGAACTGAACTAGAACTAGAACTAAACTGAAACTGAACTTAACTAAACTTAAACTGAATTAGTACTGAACCAGAACAGAACAAGAACTGAGCTAGAACTGGACTAGAACTGAACTAGAACTAGAACTGAACTAGAACTGAACTAGAACTGAACTAGAACTGAACTAGAACTGAACTAGAACTGAACTAGAACTGAACTAGAACTGAACTAGAACTAGAACTGAACTAGAACTGAACCAGAACTGAACTAGAACAGAACTAGAACTGAACTAGAACTGAACTAGAACTGAACTAGAACTGAACTAGAACTGAACTAGAACTGAACTAGAACTGAACTAGAATTGAACTAGAACTGAACTAGAACTGAACTAGAACTGAACTAGAACTGAGCTAGAACTGGACTAGAACTGAACTAGAACTAGAACTGAACTAGAACTGAACCAGAACTGAACTAGAACAGAACTAGAACTGAACTAGAACTGAACTAGAACTGAACTAGAACTGAACTAGAACTGAACTAGAACTGAACTAGAACTGAACTAGAATTGAACTAGAACTGAACTAGAACTGAACTAGAACTGAACTAGAACTGAACTAGAACTGAACTGGAACTGAACTAGAACTGAACTAGAACAGAACTAGAACAGAACTAGAACTGAACTAGACCTGAACTAGAACAGAACTAGAACAGAACTAGAACTGAACTAGAACTGAACTAGAACTGAACTGGAACTGAACTAGAACTAGAACTAGAACTGAACTAGAACTGAACTAGAACTCAACTAGAAGTGAACTAGAACTGAACTAGAACTGAACTAGAACTGAACTAGAACAGAACTAGAACTGAACTAGAACTGAACTAGAACTGAACTAGAACTGAACTAGAACTGAACTAGAACTGAACTAGAACTAGAACTGAACTAGAACTGAACTAGAACTGAACTAGAACTGAACTGGAACTGAACTGGAACTGAACTAGAACTGAACTAGAACTAGAACTAAACTGAAACTGAACTTAACTAAACTTAAACTGAATTAGTACTGAACCAGAACAGAACAAGAACTGAGCTAGAACTGGACTAGAACTGAACTAGAACTAGAACTGAACTAGAACTGAACTAGAACTGAACTAGAACTGAACTAGAACTGAACTAGAACTGAACTAGAACTGAACTAGAACTGAACTAGAACTGAACTAGAACTGAACTAGAACTGAACTAGAACTGAACTAGAACTGAACTAGAACTGAACTAGAACTGAACTAGAACTGAACTAGAACTGAACTAGAACTGAACTAGAACTGAACTAGAACTGAACTAGAACTGAACTAGAACTGAACTAGAACTGAACTAGAACTGAACTAGAACTGAACTAGAACTGAACTAGAACTGAACTAGAACTGAACTAGAACTGAACTAGAACTGAACTAGAACTGAACTAGAACTGAACTAGAACTGAACTAGAACTGAACTAGAACTGAACTAGAACTGAACTAGAACTGAACTAGAACTGAACTAGAACTGAACTAGAACTGAACTAGAACTAAACTGAAACTGAACTAGAACTGAATTAGTACTGAACCAGAACAGAACAAGAACTGAGCTAGAACTGAACTAGAACTGAACTAGAATTGAGAACTGAATTAGAACTGAACTATCACCAAATTTGAACTGAACTCGAACAGAAATAGAACTGAACTGAAACTGAAATAGAACTGAACTAGAACTGGATTAGAAATGAAGTAGTAAACAAATCTTTTCTTTAAAATTTCATAAAACAACTTACTATCCAAAATTTCCAATTATCCTGGGTCCGACAACGTACATATTGTTCATAGAGCTGTCTAACATGCTCCGTGCCCTGACGTGTTACTGGCGCTCCATTGGCTGGTAATATTGAATGAAGATGTCTACAAAAAATAAAAAACAATTGTTATTAAAATCTTGAAATAACAAACCTTTTTATAAAATCTTACGTTAATGAATTATTTAAGGCATCACGTTCCATACGTAAGGCATCCATGCGTTCTTTCAATACATTGCGTTCATTGCGTAAATGTTTGATATGTTCAGCACCTTTTTGAAGCATTGCAGCTTTACTCAACTGAAATCATTGAAAACATATTTTACAAACAATGAATGGAACAATAAAATTATTAACCCACCTTGGCATTATTTTGCTGCAGTTGTGGTATTAAATCATGCAATTGATCAAAACCGTTCTTAATGTTGTAACGTCTCTTTTGTTCGGCATGTATATGACCAGCACGACGTTGACTATCGCGCGGATACTTTAAACTTTGTGTGGGCGAAAGTGGTGAATCTTGATCATGAAATGATTCTGGTGATAAGCTGAGATGTGTTGAACAGCCTGTTTGAGAACTTGCAGTTAATGGATAACTTAACATCTGACAAAAAAGAGGAAGAAACATTTAATAAGGAGATCAAAATGGAAGTTACGATGTAATATACTTACTTTACTGGCTGGTGGACTGCTTAGCATGGAAGGTGCTACCGGTGTTGGCAAGGAGGTTGATTTCTTTGGTGATTTATGAGGCTGCTGCTGAAGATGAAGATGTTGCGTTTGTTGTATGTGTTTTTGTTGTTGTTGCTGCTGCTGCTGCTGTTGACTTTGATTAAGTTGTTTTTGCTGATGCTGCTGCTGTTGTTGCTGCATGCTAATTGGCGATGTTGCATTAATTAACGTAGGTGATGAAGGTGAAGACAATGATTGATGTTGTTGTTGTTGCTGCTGATGATATTGTGGTTGTTGTTGTTGCTGAGCAGTCGTTGTATACATGCTACTAGTTGGTCCCGTTATGGTTGACACTTTGTTTTGCACATTCATTTG